GATGACCTATCCACGTCATCATTTACCCAGAAAGCTTTGTGTGTAAATAAAATGGCTCCGTCCGTGTTAAAATATATTTTAAAAAATTACAAAACTAAACAGCCTACAGTATTTTTACAGCCTTTATTTTACAGTTAAAATACAAGTTTATCAAATAAAGTCTAATGTCACAACTAATCGGGGATCCCTTTAACATTTTGTGAAAATCTTATAAATTTTACCAACAAGTGTCTGTGTGATTCTTTCTCAGGGTTTTTTTGCAACTGCCATGAAAAGTTATAGCACATTATTTCCAATCAAGCTGCATGTTTTATATATTTATTGAATATATTTTTCTCCTGCTGCAGGAGGAGCAGCAAACCAAAGGTTGYGATGGAAAAGAACACCAGCTGAATGATAAAGATGCTTTATGTTTATGCACCGGCACCTTTAATTACCAAGAATGTTTTGTGTAAAAGCAAATCAACCAAATTACACAGGAATACTAAAAACACATTAAATTTAATTGTACACTGTGCATGTACAGCACACATAAACCACATATCAACCACGTGACACAATAAGGTGCAGCTGACCAACACATCATGCCTGTCTGTGGCAACAGAGGAAAGTAGAAAGCGTCACTTTTAAACACACAGCTTGGTGGCCTCGTACTCTGTGTGGTTTGGATGTTTGGCACTGAAAGCTTGCAGGGCAGTGAGTATCCTGGTCACGTCGGCGCTGGACAGTTTGAGCCTGTGGCGGAGCAGACAGGCGAACAGGTCCGCGTGCGGAGCCCCCGGAGGCGAGAGGCGGTTCACCCTGTGGCGCAGCTCAACCAGCTGCAGCAGGGCGGAGTCCTGAGATCCCTGAGTGTACGGGTAGTCTATCTGCAGGATCAGGTCCTGGATTGCTTCGGGGTCGAAGTGCACGCTGTACCCGAACAGCTGCATGCTGTTCACTTTCATGTAGCCAGTGTAGTTGGGCGTCTCCGCGTCCTCGGGAGGCTCGCGGTACAGAGTCACGTTCCTGGTGGACACTCCCGAAGAGTCCCGCGTGTGACTCCTCAGGTAGAAATGAATTGTCTCAAAAAAGGTTTTCCACCTGTTTCCCAGAGTCAACGTCCAGTTGTAGCAGTCCAGGGGGATATCCAGCTTGGTCTGCTCCCAGTCAGGATATCCAGACTGACCTATGGGCATGGTCCAGCTCTCAGAGTGGCTGCCACCGAACGGGTTGACAAACAGTGACAGCGTTGGCTCCACGCTGCTGTTTTTGCTGATGCAGAACTGCAAAGTGAGTCCAAGGAGCACGTGGACCCGGTTGGACTTGACCCGGTTGCTTTTGAGGGTGAGCAGCATCCTCTTCCTCCAGGAGGGGTCGAACCAGGTGTTGATGCTCACGTCGTTGCTCACAAACACGGCGTGGAGGGTGATGCGAGGGTCCCGCCGCTGCAGCAGGAAGCGCAGCTCCAGATCCTGCAGGTCCCTGTCACTTTCTATTCCGAGGTAAGGGTCRGTCGGGTCGGGCACGGCGGGCCGGCAGGCGCCTTGAATCAGACTGAAGCTCGGGTTGCAGCTGGAGCATCGAGTCTTGTTTTCTGCAGAGCAGGAGGCACAGCGGGGACCGTCCCCCACGGAGCAGGGGATGAGGCCCTGGCAGGGCGGGTGATCGTAGGGGCAGGAGCAGCTGCGGCTCCTGTCGCTGTAAACACCCACCTGCTTGTTCTCTCTGCAGTACAACATGGAGAGAGCGTGGCTCAGCCAGAAGTGCAGGGGCCTGAGGGAAAGACAAGACCACRTTCAGACACGACAATCCCCTGCTGACACTTTTAAAATATATATTTATCAGTTTTATTCAAGTCAGGCTTTATGAATGTACAAGATTTTTACAAAGGACAAAAGAGCAGAGTCAAGCCCAAACTCAGCTTCTGGATCCAACACATGAAAACATCTTTCATCACATTATCCACCAACATTTGATCCGTTTTAGCCTCTTTTCAGATTTAAGATTCAAAATGTTCATGAATTCATAAATTTGTAACTAACATTTAGAGACTGACCACATTGTAATACATGTGTTTTTAAACAKTCAGTACAGGTATCAGAGAAACTGAAGAATGTGTTCGTCACAGGCAATAACAGCTTTAGCATCTTGTTGGAAAGGGGTGGTGTGTGTTTGTGTGTCTGTGTGTGTGCGTTATGTATTTTCCAGGCACATAGTTCAATTCTAGACCAAAATCAAGTAACTATGTTACCTTCAGTTGTTATGAAAATGCTGTACACGTCAAAAATWAATTTGACTTTGTCTAACCCCGGACTTATACTACATGCTTCTCTGCTCCGCTGCGTTGCGGTGCGCAGGTCGCAGCTGTTCGTTTGTGTCTCAATTTATACACACTCCGCTCTGCTTTGGTCCGACAGAGAGTGTGCAGGAAGGAGATCGCACGATAAATTCAGTGATAAATGTGGAAGTCACAGCAAAAAAATAATTAATTCTGTGAAAGATGAACTCCAAACACAGCTGAAAACATTAATATAAAGGCTTTTAATATCTATGTTGAAACTGTCTCACTGTCGGCTTTCTGAGACTTCTGATTTCAAAATAAAATCCGTGTGTATCGTGTGTACACATATGCTTTATACATGCTACATATGCTACGTTTCCATCTGCTTTCCAAGCAGAACGATACATTCTGTAATGTAATGACAGCATTTTTGTAGAAATATGTCCACATATTTATTAATATAGCTGCAATTTTGACATTAAGCCGACAAATTATCCAGAGTCTTATTTTGAAAWTACGGATGCTGTGCTCATTCCTTTTCCTGACGTAATCTTTAAAAATTGACTCAGGCGCAGCTCCGGCGTCCGGCAAAAATAGGATCTGATCTAATTTTGACGAATCGTCGTCCGCTCTGCCTGATTGGCCGTCCGCAGCCAGTGTAAACACTCTCAGTGATTATAATGGGTGTGTATTTGCTGCGGAGGTCGGAGCGGAGCCATAACGCATGTAGTGTAAATTAGGGGTCAGTACACATCTTGAAATTGGCCTCTCTTTAAGAACCTCCTACTATTTTCAACACTCCCACTTCAGCACATCTTCACAATGCTATGTGGGGAGGGGTGCTCTGTGGGGCGGGAGCTCAGCTACAGGCTGAGCTCCAGGGAGGAGCTTTGTGTAAATGGGTGGAGCTTTGTACCAGTAAGTGTTTAGGCAGCTCCACATGGCCACAGGAGATTCATGGATTTCTCAAACATGCGTGAATGAGTCAAAGCAACACTCTGGGTATGTTTTTGAGGGAACGACATTATAACATGAAATAAAGCTCAAAAAAGTTGATTTTGCATAATAACCCCCTTTAAATGATTTATATTTTTGCTAGCTGCCATGACAGATAAGGAGTAGTGGACAGATATGATCTAAAACATTTTACACCAGAGGAAGTTGAGTTCAGGTGAAACAGCAGTTAAATCAGCAGAACGTTTGTATTAATCTGTATTAATACTAATATTAATATTAATCTAAAAGTTTCCATTATGATAGGGAGGGGAATGTATGGAAAACCAAAAGGATCATATTTTGCACACATTGAAACATTTTCTCTTGTTTTATAAAAGCTGTTTTAGTGAGCACCTCCCAGGTAGGAAGGAACAGATACAGTGGTGTAGTGGCCGTCATGTTTGCGTCACACACACAATGCCCTCTGCTCCTGATAAATCCTATAGTTACGTTCAGTTTCTTGAATTATTCCTTAGTTCTGCTGCTATAGGTTTAGACTGCTGAAGGATAAACTGGCCATATCTCCTCACTCTGCTGCTGTCTTTACTCTCCAAGTTTGCATTTATAGTTATTGATGTCATTAACTTTAACTTCTCTTAGATTTCTTTTAATAAAAACCAAACCTGGATCAGTTCTTCTGTGTTTGTCCCTCTCCTGTCCTCCAAACTTCAGCCGGTTGAGGCAGCTCATTCTGGTTCTGCTGGAGGCCACTTCCTGTTAAAAAGGATTTGTTCCTTTCCACTGTCGCCAATTTGCACTGAAGAAATCAACAGTTTTGAAGCCCTGCAAAGTTGTGTTTCATTGTTTATGGACTCAGTTTTTTTTTCATGAAAGCTTGTAGTTTGCAGTAATCCCAGTGACATCATGGAATCCAGAAATACAGTACAGTAAGCAATGTTAAAAAAATTCTCTCATGCTTTTTTTTGGGGGAGTTTTCAAGCTAAATTATTTGGTAAATAAATGTTTTAAATATTAACCTAAATTGTCATAAAATACAGTATGTGTATTTTGTATTTAATATGTGTAATATGTTTAAGTATGGCTATCTCTTTGTATGGTCATCATGTTCGAAATAAATTTGTTTGATTGAATGATTGAAAATTCAGTTCCATAAAAAAGCAATATAATACAGTAATTGATCATGCCATGGAGTGCAGCATTTCTACCTTCTAACAGTGTGGTGTGTAGCTCCTAACTGTTTAGCWCTTGTGTGTTTTTGTTTGGTTCTTGCTGCATTAAAATAGGTCACAGATTATAGTTTAGCAAACCTTTATAATTAAGTATTTCCAGTATTTTTTCCTAAATCGAGTGCAATGACCTGTAATCCAGAAGTATACTGTACATCTTATGCACAAATGAGCTAACGGTTCAGATTGTGCAGTGACCRTCTTCACGTCTTCAGCACTGTGCAGCTGGCAAACAAACTTTAGGTGCATTACTGCCACCTACAGGGCTGGAGTGTGCAGCATGGATACTGGTGCGTCAGAATGTGGTTAACAGATAATTGAGGGAATATTTTTTAATTCATTAGGTTTTCTGTTCGCATTTATCTGTAAACRAGGTTTAACATTTTATTTATTCTGTGTTTTCCATCAGTGATGTATTTAGTTCTGTATTATTTTTATTTTGGGTCAATTTTAGGTCAAATTAACAAACAYTTATTTTTAAAATCTTGAGGCTTATCAAATGTTTTGATCGAAACGTGGCCAGCTGAGCACTTTTAACACTTCTAATAAGGTGGGAAAAAAACATTTATTTATTTATTTATTAATCCATGCTTGAGAAAATTCATTAGCAGCTGAAGTAATTAATTAGAAGTCGAGAAATTTAATTATCAGCTGAAAATTTGTATGTTGCTGAACTTCACCTGCTGCTTCAAAAGAATCAGTTTTCTTTTAATATGAACAAAATTAAGTAGTAAAAACTTGCTTTTCCTGTTTTACTATAATAATACTGTAATACAGCTAATGTAACCTGTATGTAAAGCAGGAAAATACAGAGGTGCTGCCGGAGGCAGATCATGTATTTGAGAAGCACGCTGATGGATTGTGTTATTTCACTAATTTCCCTCCAAAAATAGCTTTGAGTATTGAGTGTTGATAAGAGAGCCATCAGTCGGGCTGAAGTGGAGCATCCAGGTGGGAGAGAGACTGAAATAAGAGCTCTAATGCTTCAGGAACAGATAAGAAAAGCTCCTCTCTGTCTGCAGCAGCTTAAATGTCTGGACGTGTTTTTGTAAAATAAATGAAATAGTAAAGGAGAAATGTTGGAAAGTTGAACGTGTTGGAGTTCAGTAGAAACCTGCGGAGGGTAAAAAGGCCAGATCTGTTCCACTTTGTCTTACAGAGGGAACCGAGAAGAGGCTCTGCTCCTCTCAGCACTTTTCTCTCCTCAAGTGCCTTTTAATAAGCGCCGTCCTGCTCGGCTGCTTTCTCTCTCCGCTTTGCTGCAAAAATCATCCTCATAATTAGATGTTCTGGGGAACACCGAGGGTCAACATGCATATTCATCCYCGCCTTACCTCGGCCTCGGCAGGATAATCTTCGGCTGCTTTCGGCACCTCTTGCTMAGGCTGAAGAGCTTGTTAGTTGCACGGCGAGCTTTGGCGAAAAGCTGCGTGCTGCTGGTCTCCAGCTGCCTGTAGCGCTGGAGCAGGCCAGCATCCGCCCTCCACAAGTGCTCCACCACAGATGTGTTCACAGCGTAATGGGCCGGCAGTTTCCCAACAAAGCTTTGGAGCTCCTCTGGTATGAAGGAGAAAATGAAAGAATAAAATCCACCCGAGGCTTCAAACTGAGGGATTACAACAACATCCACAAAACTCTCTACTTCTTTGTTTGCCTGAGAAAATTAAACAGCCAAGGAGCCTAAATAAAGGTGAGCAATGTGTAAAGAAAGAATGTTTACATATTTTAATTTTCTTCATGTGAAGATTTGCTGATCTCTTCAGAAAACAAACTCATTTCACATTTGTTACTCTGCAGACGTACACAGTTTATTTCCTGTTGGAATGTATTCAAAGCAGTCAGTCTCTGATTAAACAGGATTAACACTAAATTACACAAACAGTATGCTGTCAGGAGTGGTGTTAAATTAGTGCAGGTTGCAGTGATTGCAGTAATTATTACTGTCAAACTGAGGAAGAAGTGAAGGTGCTTAAAAAGTCAGAGACTTCCTCATCAGTGGGATAAATAATCTGCACACAGAGTCGTACGTTACGGCAGAACAATGTTACTTTAATCTAAAGGGCAATGAGAAGTCGGGTTCTGGGGAAACCTGTCCATCACAGGGTTTTATGTACAATTATTTTATGTAATATCAATTAAATCAACGCAAGTGTCAAAAGGTCCAAAGTTCACTTTGATCTCAATTTCATTTTGAAATGCCACTTYCACCCGCCATCTTGGATTACTTTTGGTCAGAAAATAAGAACAAATGTACGTCAAAAGTACAGTTTTGTTTTTTGCTGCTGGTGGTTTTTGGCTGGTGGATTTATTTTTTCTTGTTTTGGCTGCTTGCTGGTGGGAATTTGATGAATGTCCCTCAGATGTTATTCATATTGCTGATTATTATATATATTTTTTGTATTTTATTCACGCTGCGAGTAAATATGATCGGTAAAATATGATTTATGGGGTTTTATCTTTCATTTGAGCCCTCAGTGAAGTGTATGAGTTGAAGCCTTTAAAAACTACAGTATTTGGAAAATATGTCCAGTTTGCACGAAGTTGACACGTCTAATCATGAAATTGATAGTATTATGTCTCAAATATTTATTTTTGATGCTATTTTTACTTTGAACTGTTTGATAATCTATATTTTAGCTCAATATATATTTTCCCTCAATATCTCCTTCCTTTAATTAAAAAAGTCTTTAAAAAATTTTAAGTGAGAAAAAAGATATTTTGATTTTTGTGTATTACAACTTCAATAACTAAATACAAGTTACAGTTAAAAATATATGGCTGCTGAGGTTAAACATTCAGATTAATAGCTTCAAAAAGTCACTAGGCTTTTGAATTTAGTCCAAAGGGTTCAAGAGCAGTACTTACTTAAGTCCTGTTAGAATTAAATTCTAAAATGAGCTTAAAGAGCGATCTACAACACGTAAGCTATTATCTGTTAATAACTTTTACACAGAGTTTTACTTCAAAATGAGTGAAATCTGAGAATGAGCCACACAATCTATTAAAATGTGATATTTTTTAATATAATTTTTACTTCCAAGTTTTGTCACCTAACTAAACTGACTCATGAATAATTGAAAAAACATGTTCTGATCAAACTAGTCTAAGAAGAAACACATGGTGACAGAACATGTTATGAATGTCATTGTATTGTGAAGTGGGAGAAAAAAACAAGTCTTTGTCACCCAGAGGATCTGGAGTCACACACTAACAAAAAAATGCTTCTGAAACAAAAAAGCACCAATAAAACAGCAACAAACTGGAACGAMACATATGGCTACTTTGCCTTTGCTCAAAGCTCCGCCCTTTTTTGGGGGGAAAACGACCCAAATACTGACTTATTCAACTGATCTGACCCATCAGATGATCTGACCCATCAGACAAACACATTTTGTATTGTAATGTGAAATAAATGCATTTATCCTTCTCCATTAACTTTTTGACATAACATTAATATTGTTGCTGKTTTTTTTTCCTTTCAGCTGCCCCTGAATAATCTTTAATGAATGATTTGTTTCATGTCTTTAAACCTGGACTCAAACCTGCAGCTTCAGGATTAAAAGTCCGCAGCACTGACCACCGAGCCACAGCGACCCCACGTTACATTTAATAATAACTGTTTATATTTTAGATCTATGACTCTTTAGACCAGTGGTCCCCAAACTACGGCCCGCCTCCCCATTTGGTCTGGGCCCCAGAACAATACCAGAGAGCATTCAGTTTTTTTTCATATATGTGTTTATATTTGATTATAAAGTTGGACTTTTGGAATAAAATGTTCCTTAATTATGAACTATTTTCATTATTAACTATTATTAGTTAGTAACTATTTCATACATAAACACATACGTATATAACGTGACATTCTGTTCCACCCTTCTGCGGTCTGTGCCCCTATCTGGCAACCCCCAGAAAAAAATCCTAAACCCGCCCCTCTCAAAGAGAGAATGGAATAATGGTTAAAAGATTAGGTAAGAGAAAAATTGATTCAGAATGCAGGACATTTAAGCTGCAGTGGACAAACGATTATTTTTTTGTTCATCTGTCAAAAGGCGGTGGTGGTATTCAAAGAATACAATCTGCGGCGACACTATGAATCCCRTCACAAAGACAAGTATGATAGCTTSMARGSCMAA